CACACACACACACACACACACACACACACCTGCTGCAGCCTGTATGTGGATTCACCTCACAAACACATGATGCAGCAGCTGAAAACAGACGTGAGAATGAAAAACAGGAGGGAACGTCGTAAAAGAACGAATGCAGCTTTCCTCTGTTTAAGGAAACGTGGCCTGTTACAACAGCAAAAACTTTAGCCTGAAGCTCCTGAAAACTGCCTGAAATCAGTCAGAACCACTTAGACTGATCTTCAAAGACTGTTTTAACTATTAAAGGACAAAACCAGCTGGTTAAATCCACAGAACTGAAACCTGCCCGTCCAGTTCATCCACTAAACTGATGATTATCCTGCTAATTTGTCTACAGTTTCCATTCACACTGCTGTTGTAACTCACTGATCAAGAACACAAACACTTCTAGCTATACATGATGCATTTTGGTTTGAAATGTGTGAGAACAATCCACAATGCAACACAAAAACACACAACACTGCTAGTGAGCATTAGCACAAAAATGTGTTCCTTTCTTTCTTTTGTAGGTCAAATTCAGTCAAGACAGAACAATATATATGTGAATGTTTTAACTCCTTGAATAATGGCTCAGACATATGAAGGTAACTGTACGACAGGCTAAAATGTAGCAAAACATACATACATACATACATACGCGCATAAATAAACAAAATAGATTAAACTTTTTTTTTTTTTTTTTTTTTAAGTTTAGCTTTGACAAAATGAAATCGAAAATAAATTAAGAAAAAAAATTCTAAGGGTTTTTAAAGTTTATCTTTGATATAAAATAAATTTGCTATGAAATTCATTTTTGTAATTTATTTTTGAAAAAAACTAAAATAAAATAGATATTAGATAAAATTCAACAACAATTTACAATTTTTTTAAAAGAAAATCTCCATGAAAAATCAAAAAAATTATGAATGAATAGAAAAATTCAACAAGAAATAAAACTATTTACAAAAGCTTTTTTACCAATTATCTTTGATTAAAAAAAAAAAATTATATATTATATATATTTATTTATTTATATATATATATTAGAAAAAAAAAAAATCTACAAAAGGTTTTAAAATGTTATCTAAATACTAAATGCGGCCTCACTTCATGAAAAATATTTTCATATGAATCAAACAAATAACAGAGTGCACGAGGTTTGTTTATGTCTGCATTTGTACAGTACTTTGTAAAGTGTGTTTCCGGCCTAAGGATTTGTTCACACATTATATTTTGCAATTGTTGATGGTCATCTTTGGCCTTTCCGATGCATCTCATGCCATGTCGAGTTAAAAAGTTACATTTTTATAAAAGACAGTATATTTTAAATGAACGAACGTGTGCTGCATGTGAAGCGTGTCCTATTGCTGACAGCTGCGTTTTCATCCAGGTCAAAGGTCCACAACTCGCTCCTAGTCACATGATCCTGGGTTTCCGAAGGGAATTTTTGGACCTCACCTGGAAACCCCAATCAGATGTGACAGAGACGGATGAACGTGCCTGTATCTGTCTGCAGATAATAACGGCGATGGATCACGACACGCAGCTACTAAAGCAGCCGTTCGACTTTCTTCTCGCTCTCTTTTGAAGTTCACTGCTGCTTTACACACTCAACAAACACAAACACACCATTATCATCCACCTGCAGTCAAATCAGCACCTCACCTTCTCGTCCTGAGAGGAATTCTGGGAAATGTGGTCCGGGGCGGTTTTGGAATGAAGAGGGGAGGGTTCGTCGTCTTCCACCTCCTCCAGGACCACGATACACACACGACTCACGCGCTCCGACCGCATGCCTGCCTCTCCAACACACACACACACACACACACACGAGAGCCGCTTTCACAAAAAACACCTCGCGTTATTCCGTACGGCAGATCCATCCACGACGTTCAGCTCTGATGCCATTAGTGTCCCTCCAAACGCGCACAATCCCAGAACAGGGAATTCCTCAGAGCGGGAACATCAGCAGTGCTGCAGTGGGAAGATGCAGCGTCCTCATACACACACACTCACACATACACACGCACACACTCTCTCTCTGTGTGTGATCTGAGAGGACAATGGTGTGTGAGCTCCAGCCTGCTGAAACCTGCACTTTACACACACACACACACACACACACACACAACCACA